TTTTCCATTTTTGCTAGTATACCAGTATTAGGTTATTATTATTTATAAATTAGGGAAATTTATCCATTGTGAAATGTGTTGCAATTTTTTTTTTTAGTTTGTCATGTCTATTAGTTGAAAGACTATTTTCCTGTCATCAGAAATTTATTTTAAATAGTTGAAATTATAAAAAATACTTGTAAATGCCTTCTCTAGTGTGAGATTATTTAAAATCTCAGTGGTTTCTTCTAAAGTTTTTATGGTTTCATTTTTTAAATTTAAATCTTTGATTCACTAGAAATTTATACTTTCTAGTGAATACAGTTTTATTCATGTGATACAATTTTATTCATGTCCATATGCCTGTGTAGTTATCTTAAACTGTTTATTGAATAATTCATTCTTTCCTCACTGATAAGAAATTATTGTAAGTGTATGTGCTGGGGGGTGGGAGTGGCTGGGGAGAGGTCAATGGGGAAGAAAAGGAGACATATGTAATACTTTAAATAATAAAGAATTTAAATTAAAAAAAGAAAAGAAATTATTGTATATTCAACAAGAGAAAAACAGGAAATGGAAGGACAAATAGAAAAATAGACAATGATTATAAACAGGAAATTTACAAAGAGGAAATTTAAAAAACTAACAGGCATATGAAAAAGATGTTCAAATTCCTTAGTCATCAGAGAGATGCAAATTAAAATAATACTTGGCAAAAATTAAACTGAATTTGGTGGTGGCAATGCAGTGGAGGGCAGGAAGTGATACAGGAATTCGCATGCACTGCTTCAGCTATTCTGGAGAGCAGCCCCTTAATGTGTATGCATATCTTAGGACCCAACAGTTCTAACCTAAGTATTTGTCCCAAATACATTTTCACACAGATCCAAAGGACACATGAATGAGTATGTTCATAGCTGCTCTGGGGTGATAAGGGGGGAGCAGGAGGCACTTTGAGTGCCCATCACTAAGTGAATAGACAAAACATAGCATTGCAGATTACTACTCAAAAGTTATAAACCAGCCCAGCCAGTGTGGCTCAGTGGTTGAACATCGACCCATGAACCAAGTGGTCCCGGTTTGACTCCCAGTCAGGGCACATGCCCGGGTTGTGGGCTCAATCCCCAGTAGGGGGTGTGTAGGAGGCGTGTTTGTATCTCTCTCTCCCTCTCCCTCTGAAATCAATAAAAATATTTTTTAAAAATATATATGGTGTTCAAAGAAGCAGGCCCACACCAAGATACATCATAATTAAAATGCCAAGGGTTAAAGACAAAGAGAGAATCTTAAAAGCAGCAAGAGAAAAGCAGTTAGTTACCTACAAGGGAGCACCCATAGGACTGTTAGCTAACAGATACTTCGCAGACCAGAAGGGAGTGGCAAGAAATATTCAAAACGATGAAAAGCAAGGACCTACAATCAAGATTACTCTACCCAGCAAAGCTATAATTTAGAATTAAAGGTCAGACAAAGAGCTTCAAGACAAGAAAAAGCTAAAGGAGTTCACCACCACCAAACTAGTATTACACAAAATGTTGAAGGGTTTTCAGAAGAAGGAAGAAAAAGGGAAGAAGAAGGTGAGAAGGAGAAAGAGGAGGAGGAGGAGGAGGGAGAAGAAGAAAGGGGAAGGAGGAGGAGGAAGAGGAAAGGGGAAGAAGAAAAAGGAAGGAGAAAAGGGGAAGAAGAAAGAGGGAAGAAGAAGGGAGAAGAAAGGGGAAAAAGAAAGAGGGAAGGAAAGGGAGAAGGAGAAAGGGGAAGGAGAAAGAGGAGGAGAAAGGGGAAGAAGAAAGGGGAAGAAGGGAGAAGAAGAAAGGAGAAGGGGGAAGGGGAAGAAGAAAGGGAAGGAGAAGGGAGAAGAAGAAAGGGGAAGAAGAAGGGAGAAGGAGAAATGAGAAAGGGGAAGGGGAGGAAGAAAGGGGAAG